CAGAACCCCCTCCCACCCACACCCTGGCCCACACGTGTCACCAATAAGGGAAGACAGAGCCCTTAGAGGAGAGGGCAGGTCGGAGCCACGTGTCTGAGCGTGGCACCCCTGCCATGTTCACACAGAGCCACGGCCAGAATCCTCGGGTACCAGCAGCAATCGACTGCGTGGGACTCGGGCTCTCCACTGAGCACCTGTCCCCTTGGGAGAACTAACTTTTGTAAAAGGGGAAGGAAGGGTATTTTCGGAGCATCATCACGTGTCAGGCACTTGGTCAAATTATCTCAAAATCAAAACTCAAAGTCATCTTTGAAGGCATTTCCAATGCTGACTCGGTGCTCAGGATGAGTCACTGCCGACCCCATCCTGTCTCCTCCTTCAGGAAGTCCTCCTGCCTGGCTAACCTGCTTCTCTCGTGCACTAAAGGGGAGAGGTCAGTCTTCTCTGCCTAATAAAAATTCGTACTCAAGGAGGAAGCGTGATGAGGAACTGATAAAATGGCCCTGCAAAGTTAGAGGTCAGGTTTAATGACCTCTTAGCCCTTCCCTCTTCAGACTCGTTTATTCAGTTTTCTGTCCTGCAACTCAGTGTATCTCCCCAGCACCTTTCCACGCCCTCTTTAAAATGCAGTGAAGAAGGCTGGACCCAGCCCAGATTTCTAATAAGGGGCCAAAGGCTGCATTTCTTTTTGGTAATGAGGATTGACTTCCCGCTGACGTGGATTCCATTCACTCGTTCCTTCGTTCGTTTTCTCTTCCCACGCCGCTTGTGTTATACGGTAGGTTTGCGGCTCCCCTCGGGGGTCCACCGGGGCCCCCGGGCCCTTGTCTGCAGGGCTAGGAGGAGACGGCAGCTTTCCTGCCCGACTCGCTAGGAGGCCAGGAAGCAGGGTGGTGCGCAGGGAGGAGCCCAGCCCTTCTGGTGGCGCAGAGGAGCCAGGGGAGGCGCCAGCTCCCACGGGTAACCTGGAGCTTCCTCGCCCGGTGGGCGGAGCGCCCAGGCTGACGTGCAGCAAATGTCTGTGACTCCGACACGCCAGTGATTATGTCCACTGCCCCACAGATCCTCCGAATCCACCAGGGCCCACGTTCCCCCTGACCTCTCCCAGGTTTAGATCTACAGGTCAACTGAATAGCTATTTTTTACATTTATTTTTTAATTACAGTTGACATGCAGTATTATATTAGTTTCAGGTGTACAGTGTAGCGATTAGATATTTGTATACCTTACGAAGTGATCCCTCTGATAAGTCCAGTGCCCACCTGGCACCATCGCAGTTATAATATTAGTGACTGTAGGCCCTGTGCTGTACTTTACATCCCCATGGCTGTTTTATAACTGCCAATGTGTACTTCTAAGTCCCTTCTTCACCATGACCCCCAACCCCCTCCCATCTGGTAATCGTTGGCCTGTTCTTTGTATCTGTGAGGGTTTTTGTTTTGTTTTGTTCATTTATTTTGTTTTCTAAAGTCCACAGGTAAGTGAAATCATATGGTATTTGTTTTTCTCTGTCTGACCTGCTTCACTTGGCACGATGCCCTCTAGGCCCGCCCATGCTGTCACAGATGGTAAGATGGTCTTCTTTTTTCTGGCTGAGTAGTATTCCACTGTGTATACGCGCCGCTTCTTTATCCACTCGTCCACTCGCGGATACTTGGCTGTTTCCATATCTTGGCTATTGCAAATGCTGCAACGAACATGAGAGTGCAGATATCTTTTCGAGTTAGTGTTTTGAATTTCTTCAGATACCCAGCAATGGAATCACTGGGTCATATGGTAGTTTTATTTTTAATTTTTTGAGGAAGCTCCATACTGTTTTTCTTAAGTAGTTCTTCTGATCCGGGCCAGGTTCAGCAGATCCAGGCTGAGCTCATGCGCTAGTGGGTTGGCTGGTCCAGGCAGCCTTGGCTGAGGGGCTGGTCTCTGCTGCACACGTCTCCTCCTCTAACAGGCCAGCCCGCGCCTGTGCTCACGGTGATGCCAGGGTGTCCAGCCAGCAGAGCCTAAGCTCGGAGCTGGCACACTGTCACCTCGTTGTGGTCTTTAGTAGCCACAGCCAGGCCCCAGGTCAGCCGGATTCACGGCTGGAGAAAGGGGCTCCCCCCACAGAGGGGAGGAGATGCACGGCCCATTAGGAAGGGCACGGGTGCAGGGAGAGCAGAGGATCGTGGCTATTTTGCAACCAACCTCCCACAAGAGGCTATTGTGTAGCTCAAGAGAGAAGTTAGAGGTTTAATATAGTGGATGGTGGTGGAGCCATTAATTGAGAACACACGTGGGAGATGCCGCTGACGATGTGCTACTGCGCTGGCTGTCAGCGTGGGCGAGAGGACTCCTTTGGCCCAGGTGGCTGTTGGGGCACCTACAATGAGGTGGGGGAGCAGGAGAGGAAGGCAGGAGGCCGGAGGCAGCTGCCTTGGTGCGTGGGAGATGCCGTCAGCATCCTCATCCTCAGTGCTGTCCCACGGCTGGGGCCGCTGCGGGCAGTGAGCAGGGAAGGGCAGGGGAGGGGCGAGCCCTCCAGGCAGACACAGGTTGCTGCAGAAAGTACCCCCAGTTGGGTGGCTGGAAACAACAGTCTGGGGGCCAAAAGTCCAAAAGGAAGGTGTCAGCAGGGCCACGTCCTTCTGAAGCCTCGCGAGAAGGGCCCTTTCTCACCCCTTCCAGCTCCTGGCGGCAGGTGTGCCTGGCACGCAGCAGCATCACTCCAGCTTCGCCTTCGTCTTCACATGACTGTCTTCTCTGTGTGTGTCTGTTTTCGTGAGGCCGCCAGATTAAATTTCGGCCCACCCAAATGACCTTATCTTAACTTGATTATAGCTGTAAGACCTTATTTGCAAATAAGGTCACATTCCCAAGGACCAGGCGGTGAGAGCTTCAACAAAACCTTTTGGGGAACACAATTCAACCCATAACCCAGAGCCCAAAGGTGAGGAGTTGGAGGCCAAGAGAGGGGCAGAGAGTTCCCTAAGACCCCCTGAGTTCCTGACAGTTGGCACTGGGACCCACACTCCGGACACCCACCCTAACCTGGCCCTCCCAGCCACCTCCTCTGCCCACATTGCCCATCTCTGTCCATTGAACGTGCCAGAGCTCAAGCCCAGGCTGGCGGCCAGGAGGCAGGTGCACTGCTTGAATACTCAGCAGGGTCTCTGTC